TACACTGGGAATGACCAACAAAGTATCAACACAAACTGAACCTTCAACTCTTGCCTGTGTTTCAAACAATAACACAATAAACTGCATTGAAATACTGGTGTGGGCGTCAGGGTTCAGTCAGTATTCTTCCCTTAACTTCTAAACCAAAGCAGGTTCGTATCTGAGCATTTGAAGGTGTCCCATAAAAGAAGCCAACTCCATTGTCTTGTGATTCAGCCTTAAGGATCTTGTGGCACTTCCCGAACAGCTCGAAGGGTTACAAAATGTCCCAAATCTGTCTCTCCCAAACCAATATGTTTTGTGCTGACTTGTTACTCAGTGACACCACTACAATGAATGCCAATTTTCTTGCCACAGGCTAACAAATAATAAGCATTTATGTGCACACAGGATTTCATACAGCAGTAATTGAAAGAAGATACACTTGTTCATATTTTACTACTTTAAAAAGTAAGAAAGTGTAAACAGAGCTCTTTCTCCGTTGTTTTTAATATACTTGGAAATGGGAAAAAACCTCCAATTAAAAACCCAACACCTCTTCACCTCCTAAATTCAAAGGGTAACTAATAATAGTTAATCTCAGCAATGAGTCACTGCTTTTCTCTACGACATTTAAAATAAATTAATTCTTACACAGTCATTACTTACTTGTTCTCTTCTCAAAAAGAAGCAGTTATTACAGTATGGAATGCTATTGATTAATCCTTGAGAAAATATTTTTTACAACTTACATTATACAAAGTATAAAGCTGGCATAAGCCAATCTTGAACTTTAAAAACACCCAAACCTGTTCACAAAACAGATACTTTTGGTGACTACTGCCTTAGAGAATTTATCTGAAGTTGGTTTGAGTTGGAAAGAGTTTCTTGTAGCATCCCTCTGACACCCCTTTCCGATCACCCTTGTGCCTTCCTGTCCTAAAATTTACGTTCCAACAACCTTTCTCAGCAGTTAACAGGTTCCCTCTTCCATTGCTTACCTGAGGAGTTAACGTGATCTGCAGCGGAGCATCAGGAACCACCACAAAGAGTCTCATGAACTGAGCGTAATGCGGCTTGAGCCCTCGCCCCTGAGTCGACGACAGGATGTACAGCGGCATGTCAGAATTGAGGGCTTTGATGGCGGATTCCTTTGGCCCCCCTCCCATCACTTTCATGACCTTATCAGGCCCTGAACACATGAACCTCCTACCACGTGCATCTTCATATTCAAATCCTACAAAAGCTCGAGCTATGTCATCCCTCCGTCTTCCTCTTCCCATCACAACCGCGCTTCTTTTTCCAGGAACAGCCTTGTTAGGTGCAGGCCAGGAATTGGTATCTAAGTCTCCTTCATCTTCAGCTCTTGTCCTAATGACAATGTCCCAAGGCATTAAATAGTTTGTTCCCGGGATAAAGCCCTGTTGATCTAAGCCTGTGTGGAAGTTATAAGCCTTAGCAGGCCCCAGCTTAACCAGTGACCAACTGGAGAATTTGGGCAAAAGGCCCTTGGGGCAATTTGAATGGAGCATCCCAGGGAGGTACTCAACAGTGGATGCCTGGCGATCTACCAGGCTTGGCCTTTTCTCACTTTTGGAGTCCCCACTCTGCCCGTGACCTTCTGCATTGTCCCCTCCACCCTGGGCATCAGGCGGGTAGGTGCCCAAGCTGCCCGTCGACTGACCCAGGCTGAGGGCTAAGCTCAGGCCTGTGCTTTCTCCCTGAGTCTGAGGTTCTTTTTCTTTCAGTTTCTCAATCTCGCCTTCTGGAGGGGCAGGCGATGACTCATCCCGAGCAGGCGCCGGATCGGGTGTGCTTGGCTGAAATATGGGAAAGTTGATGTGCTCCAGTTTCCCGCAGCATTTTTCTTCCAGCAGCTATGAGAAAGAAAACGTGGTTAACTTTCCATCTTCCACCTCCGAGATGGGGGAGTTCAGAGTCCTAATGTTCAGCAGCTACCGCTAAGATTCAAGAGGTTTTGCGCTACGCGAGAACCAAAGCAGCAATGGGAACACAGCCCACAGACACAAAGGATTTAACATTCACGTGAACACAGTTGAAGCATAAATAGGTGCTCCTGCGTGCATGCACTGGTGAAGACTGGAACTGCCCACTCTGGTCAGCGTATCGTGCAATTTCTGTTCCCAGAAGCATCTTCCCCAAGCTACGTTTACAAGCCGATGAGGTTAAGAGGAAACTCACTTCAGAATAGAGATTTTTGTTAATGAAACAAAAGCACTGCTTGAAGCAAAACTAGAGACCCGATAGTTACCTGGTAAAAGTCGTAATTAGCTGCTTTGATATCAAAGGGGTCATCCCGAGGAGCTTGTTTCCTTCCACAGTTACAGGCACCAGTGGAACGAGCCCGGCTGTTGTGGTACAGAACTGGAGGATTTCTGTCTGCTTCTGGCTTTTCCCCTAAAAGCAAAATCAATCAAACCCTTGATAAATTGCTCACCATTTCTAGAGATTCTTTAACTCCCCCCACCCACTGCTTCCTCCTTGCTATACACACATGCAAAATGATTTACCAGCAATGCCAGTTCGTCAAGCAACTCCTCCCTTTCCCACTTTTAATACACAGTTTAGTTTAGCGGTGTAACCTACACTGGAATCTTGTTTTTATAACCTCTTCCTAAGAGGCATAAATAGTTCTGCCTGCAATAAATGTGTATCAGACAGTTTCTACTCCTTGACATCAATCAAGCTATTTCAGAAAAAAAAAAAAAGGGGGGTGTGTGTGTACTTATGCTTCTGAGAAAACTGTTGTTCTCTTATATATCTATTGTTAGGAGCACTCCAGTGCAGTGTTTATAACTAGCAAGATGAAATGAGAGTTACTACTAAAATCAAAGTAACTACTGACAGCGGACTCACTCCTAAACATTACTCAAACCTAAAGGAAACCTGCACAACAGCTCTGCTGTAATTAATCCCACCGTACAAAGACGAAGCTTTAAAGCTGCCAAACTTTCATCTTCCATAAACACGCAAGAGTGGGTGTTTTCAGCCTAGGACATTTTGAAGCAGATCCAAAATTAAACCATGAAACCCAATGACGAGTGAGCTTCTTCACCTGCTTTTGGGAGCAGATGAAACTTATGGACACAGTGTTGGTCTGTTAAACTTCGCTCTTCACAAAGCTGATGCCCGTTGCTCCAAAACTTGTAACAGTCCTCGTTGAGCTGCATGGCGTATTTATGGAAGGCTGGGCCACGGGCGTGCTGGCTGTACACACGCAGGGCCTGGGCCAGCTGGTTCTTATGGACCGTCATGGTGTAATTGTGGGGCAGGTTGGACTGGTAAGCGCTGTGGGCCATGGGGAGAGCCTTCTGGCAACGGTTTTCTGAGAACTTGGTGTCTATATCCAAATAGCCTTCCAAGACTTTGATGCTGCCCATGATTTTTGAGCTCAGTTCCCCCGTGAGAGAGGTTGGGTCGTCATCTTTGCCTTCGATGGTCACTTCATACAGTTTTAAAGCTGCAGCAACCCACTTCTGGTAGGTTGGGAGCTCGAAGTGAGAGGGCTGTGGGTTCCTCCCCACGCTGTCATCGAAGCCCTTCTTGCTGAGCACCAGCTCCACGTGCTGCCACAAGAACTCCTTGAGGGTGCAATCCACAAGCTGCCCAGAGGAGCTGGAGCTGCTGCTGCTGCTCTCTGCGTGGAAGGACAGCTGCTGCCTGCCGTGCCGCATCATCTGATACCTCCTGGGTCCGGACAGGGTGGGAGCCAGCAGCGAGTCGGTCTCTCTCATGGTGCAGTTGCTCCTGAGCTGGTCAAGAAGCATGGCCACTGGGTCATCCCCGTCCTGGGCCCCCCCAGCCACAATGTACACGAAAGCCTGGTTGGCAGGCACGGTGAAGAGGCAGTTGATGCTCTGGTTGGTTAGCACCCTGCTCTTGCGGAAGATGCGGTAGATCTGATCCTCCAGAGCGTGCTGCAACCTTCTCTTGGGGGAGTGCTTCTTGGGGGGCGGCTTTTCCAGGTGACCGCAGGGGTCCTGGCCCCTGCTTGGGAGAGGATCCACCTTCAGGGCCCCGTTGAGCTGGAAGAGGAAGAGGAGGCGCGGAGGGCACGGCCTACAGTTGAGCTTCCACTCCTTGCCGACCGGGCAGTCTTTGATGGCGGCTTTCAGGGAGGGCAGGACCTTCTGCCGCAGCCCGTCCAGCGCCCTGAAGACGCGGTCGTAGGTGATGTCGAAGGAGCAGGTGGGATGCACCAGCAGCAGGATGTGGCAGACGGAGAAGAGGTAGAGCAGGCTCAGGCAGTGCAGCTTCTCCTGGTGCTTCCAGAACTCGTGGGCCTCGGCGTGCGGCAGCGGGGCCGGGCCGCCGGAGGGGTGCCCGGACC